AAAAATCATTTCAGTGTACAATCCAAAAACATTTAATTTTTCTGCAAGTTATACTTGCTGACAGATTCTTTGATTTTTTTGCTACTTTCAGTATCATTTCACGATTGGTTGGGATGATGATTTAAACAACACGATAAATCTAACAAACTAATTTATCGATTTGTTTGTACAAAATCAATCTTAAATTGTGACCAAAAAATAATTGTACAATTCGAAAGTAATTCTTTTAACTTGTCGGGGTTTTCAAGGCAAATAAATTTTAGAATGTTTAGACAGAGACAAATGTGCGTTCAAATTTTTCTTAAAAAATTGTCTTTTCTAATCGCTTGTTGATTTTGTTGGGCCCAGTATGTAGTATTCCGTTCATTAAACATATCACTATTTGTAAATATGTCAATAAAGTTGATAAAATTTGGGTTATCTATATGATTTTGAAGCAGTCAATCACAAAACTTACCCATTCTTTCATCATCGTCACAAATGTTGATGAAAGTGATACTCCTGCTCGGTATCCTACTTTTTCAGTTTTTGTTTTACTGATTTGTGACTTTTCTGTAGTTCTTGACTAATTTATCTTGAAGAAACCATTTCATTAACCTTATAACCATAGCAAAAACATTATTCTCAGAATATTCAAGAATGTTAACACGTCAATGCTCACTTCACCTATAGGTGTAGAAGAAATTTTCGAAGTGCCCCCTATACCTATGGATGTACTGTTAGCTGAATTTAGATCGGTTTCTGTATACCTAGTGGGTTTTTCTGAAATAGTATTATTATGACGGTCATAAAATTATAATACTTAAATGCGATTTTTCGTTTTGTTTATTTACTTGTAGAATATCTATCCTAGAATTGTTCTTTTTAAGGTTTAATTTTTGTACTGTCAGTTTTTTTTCTAGTAAGTATAAGTTGAATTATCATATAATTTATTATTTCTATAGCTTATTTTAGTTCAAAATAAATCGCCCAATATATCTGTTACACGGAAATATATGTAGTAAGGTGGGTATTTAACACGTTCTTACCTGTGATGCACTGTTTAATCTTCCTCTTGAAGATGATCACTTGGTGATCGAAACACGTGTCGAGGTGTTAAAATAACGATTTGGTGTTGGAAAAAAATCCCCAATAATATTCACGTTCTTACCTGAATATACTTATACATGTTTGTATAATTTTTTGTAAAATTCATATACATCCTATTTTTACCTGCGTAATCTTTGAACAAAAATGCATATTTGAAATTTGGGCGGCTTGATGAAAGTGTATAAGTAGTGTAATTTAGGCCAAAATCAGTATTATGTACTTTCCAGTTGGAATGCACCCTTATTGCTGTTTACAATGAGCAATTTATATTTTTAATGATAATCCCCTCAAAACATAGTAACAAAATTTGTAACAAATTATACCCATTTTTCTATTCAGTATGTAGCTGCACCTTCTGGTTTGTGTAGGAAAAGAAAACTATGGTCTAATTCAATGGAGAGCGAGAAGTTGATTCATATTTTGGAATCGGATAAAGAAAGTTCGGGGTCAAGCAGTGACTGTGACATTAGTGAAATGAGTTCCTCGTCGAGTGACGAATAGTTGGAAGATACCCAAATATTTGAAGAACTAAAACAATTGTATGGTGCCGAAAAATTGATTTCAACAGCAGATGTTACTCAAACTCATGCTGCTGGAAGTTTGAATTGGTCGGCACTCGAGCATTTTTGGTAGAAGGTGCTGAACAAAATCTGATAGATTAATTCCAGTTAATTTTCAATGATTCTGGCATTAATTGTTAGAGAAACTAATTATTATGCAATAACTGGTTTTTTGCCCGAAAAAACTAAAATCTGACGGGTCCTGAATTAAAAGTCTTTCTTGGACTTCTACTTCTAACAGGAACAGTTCAGTTACTCTGTTTAGCAGAATACTGGAAAAAACATTGGTTGGTTGGTACGTGCTTTTACCTTTTACTTTGTCCAGAAATATATTTTTATTGATTTTGATACGTTTACATTTTTTCGATAAAGACAATAACTTCAACGATCGATTAGGAAAGATACGTTGTATTATGGATTATTTTAATTGGAAGGTGAAATCTATTTACAGTTCAGGAAAAAAGATCTCCCTTGATAAATCAATGATTCTATGGCGATTAATTTAGGACATTAATTGTATTTGGATAATTTTTACAATAGTACGAAATTATAGCCGAAATGCTTTTGGAGAAAAATACCTATTGTACTGGCACGTTAAAAAAAAACGCAAAGTAAATATCAAAGGGGTTACTAGTTTAAAATTGAAACGGGGAGAGAATAAATCGTAATGGTATCCACGTTGGAAACTGGAAAGATAAACAAGATATATTATATATTTCAACGGAGCTTGGAAATATATTGCAAGAGTCGAGAAATAGGCGAGGGCAGGCAAAAGAAAAACCTCTGGCTATTTTGAATTATAATAAACATATGGCTGGCATTGATCGTCATGATCAAATGCCCGACCATCAACTACTCACAACTTCACGTCAACCTAGGCAGTTAGTGGTGACAGTGTGGAAACGTGTCTTGTGAATTTCAGAATCCCTCGCCTCCCAAAACTTCAAGGCCCCTTCTTGTTCGATTATGATTCAA